CTAGGGTAGGCTTTCAGAGCTCTCTTATAGGAAATCTGTGGTCAAGATATTGCATTAGGAAATTAAATGTGTAATTTGAGCCCTCACTAAAATCTGTGCACCTCCGAATTAAATTAATTGTAATGTTCAAAGAAAATACATCATTACACAATAAAAATGGATAGGAATGCTAAAAAAAATTAAAAGTCAACCAGCTCTGAAACAAACTTAAACTTGCATGATGGCAGGTGAGAGACAAGTATACTTCATCAAAGGCGTCGAGGTGATCGTGTAAATTGGAGCACATGCAGACACCAAATATCATTATTCAGCCATTAAATTGCCACACTACAGGGACTGCCAGCATAACACAGGGACAGGTACCAGGGGACTCTGCCGCAGTATGGCAGCAGACCTGATTAATGAAGCAATAGCAACCTGTGGTCCAGGCATTCCTCCACCTTTCAACCCCTCCCAACCACAGGTGCCTCCCTCCTCTGTCTCCTGAAAGAACAGACATGGACCGAAGGGCAGGGATGAATTTGGAAGCCAGGGATGAGAGGAAAAGGAGAAACAAGGAACTAGAAAGAGACTGCATGGGTTACGGTCAGACTGCAGGCCTCATCTCAAATACTGCGTTTTCCAGGGGCTCCAGCTCCTCACTGAATCTTCAGATTTTCCTTTGTGCCAGTTCTCACACAAAAGGTCCCTGATGAGTTCAGCAATCGTGGCTGCAAATTGGACCACCAGCCAACAGGCTCCTTGATAGTGGATACTGCAAGTTCAGGAAGAATTTTCTCTACTTCCCTCTACCTGATTTATAAAGGCACTACTTAGCTTCCCAGAGTATAATAAATATTAATTAATTTGCCGTAATCTTGCTTAACAGTTTTACAGTAGCTTCATAAAGCATAATTAAGATAACAGACCAAAGACTATATCGATGGTAGGTATTATTATCTTGCTATATTAATTTTCAAAAATACAGTGTCTAAGCAATACCTTAATTATCCACATAAGTAGAGCCGGCCACAGCCACCTCCACGGGACACCTCCACTGGGATGCGGGGGGGTCAGCGTGTTTCTGTATCCAGGGTCAAAGGTGGAGAAGACGAATTCATTGTCAGCTCTTCTCAAAGATATCATGACACCCCATAATCAGATGAAGAGGCTCAGAGAGGTTGCTGCCTCTCTGAATGAGTGAGGAACAGAAGACTCTGAACCAGAGGCCCCAGAGACCTTTCTCCAGGGAGACACCGAGGATGCAGAGACACAAGTAGAAGGAGGGTTGGTCTCAGGGTGCGAGGATGGAGAAGACCGGATGGTTCTCCTCCAGGCAGGAAAGGTAATTTTCACGTGGCCACAACCTTTGCTTTGCTGCTGTGGTGCCAGGAAGTTGAGGAGAAGAAGGAAGAGGATTGGAGCACAGGGATCTGGACTGAATCTGGAGGAATTCACCGGCGTGGACGACGGGAGACGTGGGGTCCACTACCAGGAAGAGTCCACCTGCTCCTCTTCGGCTGTCAGAGTCAAGTGCTGGCACTGGGGTAACCCTGCCTAGAGCTGTCATGCGAGGCAGGAGGGAAAGTTGTAGGTGTCAGGTTCCTACTAAGCTGAGGTTTACGAGGGCTGCTATTGTTGGCAGAAGGGAGGAGGAATCCACCACTGATCACCATGGTCAGGAGATGTCCCTGGAGGAAAACCCCTGACACGGCACATTCTGGTGACAGTCACAGCCTGTGACTGTGTCTCTTGGTCTTAAGCAAGAATCGGCACATGGTGGGACCTCATCGTGGAGAAGTGGGTGCTCTTGTTTTTGTTTTGTGGTGCTGGGAATTGAATCCAGGGTTTTGCAAACACTACCATTGAGTGACACCCTCAGCCCTTCATTGGAGTTTTCATTTGCTTGTCCATGCACCTTTTTGATTGCTTGTGGGCTCTTCGTAGATTCCCTTTTGTAAAGCATGGGTCCAAGAGTCCTCTATATAGTCTGGATACCAGTCTTCTGCCCCACACATTGTACCAATATATTCTCCCAAATGCTGGCTGAGCTATTCATTTTCATAACTCTGTGAAAGAACAAATGTTGTCCCTTTGTGTGTGTTCTAAGAAGTCTTTTAGCTGAAGATTAGATAGATGTTCTCTGATGTTGACTTATGCAACGTTTGTAGTTTTACCCTCACATAGATAGGTCTAAGATCTATTTTACGTTGATTTTTATATGTGGTGGAGGGTGAAGGGTATGATTCTTTGTTTTCTATATAGCTATTCAGGCTGTGTCGGCACCAATTATTGCATACAATTATTATCAGCACCAATAATTTACATACGATTCTATATGGTAATTTACATATTCATTTGCAGGTTGCATTTCCTTGGCCCCTTTATGGAAAAGCTGTTAACTATGTAAATGCTGTGGTCCATATAGTTGTCTCTGTGTCAGGATTGCTGTGACTCTACACGAACCCTACAATAAGGTAGGAAGAGCACTGTCTTTGCTCTTTAGAAAAAATATTATTGCACCCTGCATTCTTGGCATTTTCATATAAATTTTACAATTGACTTGTCAGTTTCTAAAAGAAAAGTAAGGCGGTCTAAAAGATGTTTCATTAGAATCACATTCACTCTGGTTCGGTATTGAGTCTTCCAATCCAAGTGTATGTTACACGTCTGCTTTCTTTATATTTAATCTCATGGATATTTTGTAGTATATGGATGCTGCACAGATTTTCTTAAATTCATGCTTCATATTTTTATGCATTTAAATGTTTGACTTTCAAATCCTTCATTGCAAATACATAAAAATCTTACCCATCAATTCTTGAATGAATCCATGCTTGGGAATCTTGCTAAAATCACAGATCAGTGATAGTAATTTTGTGGTGGAGTCCTCGGGATTTCCTGTGCACACAATCACACCTTTCAAGAATAAAGGTGACTGTCTCCCTTTCCAGCCTATAAGGCTTTGCTTGGCCCCTCCTGCAACTGTTAGCATCCCGGGAATACTATGAGAAGGAGTGGACGTCGTTGACTTCTGATTCCAGAAGAGGAAATGCTCACTGTGTTCTCATTACCTGTGATGGCTGCTGGAAGTTTCCCTCAAATACTATCTGTTTGAGCAAATTTCACTCCTCTTGGTTTCAGAGTTTTCATGAACAGATGTTTAGTTTTAGTTTTTTAGTTTAGTTTTCAATTTTTTCTCTTTTTCTATGGAGATGATCTGATGGTCTTCCATCAATATTGCAATTTTCAATGATTAATTTTCCAATGACAAATCAACTTTTCACTTCTAGTGCATTCTTTTCCCTCCTCCTCCTCCTCCTCCTCCTCCTCTTCCTCCTTCTTCTTCTTCTTCCTCTTTGTGGGTCAAGGAGCTTGAACTCAGGGCCTGGACACTGTCCCTGAGCTCTTTTGCTCAAGGCTAGTGCTCTACCACTTTGAGCCACTTCCCGTTTTCTGCTGGTTAACAGTAGATAAGAATCTCACCAACTCTCCTGCCCAGGCTGACTTCAAACCATGATCCTCAGATCTCAGCCTCCTGAGTAGCTAGGTTTACAGGTGTGAGCCACCAGCACCTGGATTAGTGTAGTTCTTTATACTAAATTTTACAATTTTTTCTCAAAGATCATTGGTCTTGTGAATGTTTATTCATGATGGTGGTTTGATGATTTGGCATTAGTATCAGGACTGGCCTTCTGAGACAAGCTGGAAGTATCCATCTCCCTCTGTTTTGTGGAAGTTTCTGTAAGATCCACAGTTTTTCTTCCTTAAGTCTTTTTTTTTTTTTTTTTTTTTGGTCATGGGCCTGAACTCTGGGCCTGGGCACTATCCTCTTCAGCTCAAAGCTAGTACTCTACCACTTGAGCCACAGTGCCACTTCCAGTTTTTTCTGCTTATGTGGTGCTTAGGAATTGAACCCAGGGCCTCATGCATGCAAGGCAAGCACTCTACCCCTGAGCCACCTTCCCAGCCCTCTTCCTTAAGTCTTTACTACAACTCACCACCAAAGTCATAAGTACCTACAGTTACCCTTGAAAGATCTTAAGTATTTAATATTTTTCTTAACATAGATCTATTTTCATATTTTGCTTCTTCTTGGAATCTTTCTGGTGTTTCTTTTAAAAAATATATACATTTCATTCATTGGTATTAATTATGCCATAATCCCTAATTGTTTGAATGCCTACAGAGCCTGCATCCACGTTACTTCTCTCAGTCATATTATTAGTAAATTTTATTTTTAATCATCCATTTTAATCAGTCTAGATCAAGGCTTATTAAATTGACTGATATTTTCCAAGAACAATCTTGGTTTTCAATTTTTTTCCCTGTGTTCTTATTTATTTTTTTATTTTTTAATATTAAAAAAAATTTTTTTGGGTCCGGTCATGGGGCTTGAACTCTGGGTCTGGGCGCTGTCCCTCAGCTCTTCAGCTCAAGGCTAGCGCTCTACCACTTGAGCCACAGGGCCACTTCCGGCGTTTTTCTTTATGTGGTGCTGAGGAATCGAACCCAGGGCCTCATGCATGCAAGGCAAGCGCTCTACCACTGAGCCACCTTCCCAGCCTGTCTCTGTGTTTTGTATTTTATTTATTTCCACTTTTCATTATTTCTACCCTGCTACTTCCTTTGAGTTTGATTGCTTTTCTATTTCTAGCTTTTCAAGGTGGAAGCTAAGATCTGGTTTGTGATTTGTTCCTTTCACAGCTGTAGCTACAGTTGGGTTTTGATTGTTATTCCATTTAAAATATTTTCTAATTTCTCTTAAAATCTCTCCCTTAATCCATGCATTATTTAGAAATGCTTCTTATGTCCCTAAATGCTTGGGGACATTCCAGACCATCCATTATTGACTAATACTTCTCACTTCTTACTAAAAATGAATATCTTAGTATTACTGATCCTATTTACTTTTCTTGTGATCAGAGAACATACTTTCAAACTTTTTAAACTTCGTAAAACTTCTTGGACAGCACAGCATATGGTTTCTCTTAGTAAATAGCGTATGTGTCCTTGAACAGAATGTGCGCCTGCTCTCATTGGCTGGGAAAAAACGTAGCCTGAGCCTAATTGGCCAGAGGGTTGACTACGCCTTCTGTGTTGAAATCTGCAGGTACAAGAGTGGCGTCCTCTGGCTTTCCATTTCGTTCTGTCCATTTTGTTTTATGGATGCTGCAGCTTTTAGCACACAGAATTACATTTATAACTGCCATGTCTTCCTGCTCTAATACCCTTGTTTCCATAGCAAATTATCCATCTCAGCCATTTGGAAACTCTCTTTGACTTAAAGTTGATTTCATCTGACATGAATACCGTCACTCTGGCTTTCCTATGCTTCCTGTTGGAATGCTGCATTGATCAGAAAGTGATTTCCGAAGTAACAGTAACAGTAAGAATCACAAGGAATGAAAGAGAATACGCCGTTTAACACAGTCTTGACTTTATGTAATTACAGGAGAGGGTAACAGTGTGTGTCTGGTTTTGTTTTTGTGTTCGCTTCCACAGCTTCAGATAGAGTTCACCCAGCACTCAGAGAAGCTGAAGGGATCTTGAAAAATGCTGGTGGAGGCACAGACCTGACGCAGTTGCTTCTTCAGCAACAGCATGCATGAGCCCCAACAGACCATCCATACCTTCAAGGATCATGCCTGAAGGGTGAGCAGTCAACAAGTAGATATGGTGGAACTCACACTTGGGGCTCTTCTTGGTGACTCCTTGAACTTTCATTTACTTCACCAGGTTCAAGTTCCCCCATCTGATGCATTGAGCCGGTGAGGTTTCTGCTTGGTGCGGCCATGCTCGGAGTGGAACTGGGAGCCCAGCACAGCTCACCACATCCAGTCTATCTTTCAGAATACACTCTGCCTCCAGGTTTCTGGCTGCTTTTCTGCTAGGCCATTTGCCATCTCCGTGAAGATGGACGTGATTATCATTGAAACTGGAGTTTCCAGACGCCAGGCCTGAGCGCCAGCAGTCTCTGCACACATGCCAAATAAAGACACATGGAAAAGGGCAGAGAAGGGACATTTTATTACTCTGCAGCCACAGGTAGACAAGGAACAGAGGGAACGGGGAGGGCCCTGGCTGCTCCTTATTCTGGTCCTTCGGGAAGGGTTCTGGAGAAGATGCTATGGTGGCCATCACTGGTCAGGATAAACAAGTCAGCATTGCCCGGTGGGTGTTCAGTCCTGAGGAGGCCCCATTGCTCCTCCTTGTCATAAAGATGTCTATCAATCAATCCTGTGCTTCCTGACAGGATCGCAGGTGATTGCAAAGCAACTGCAGATACAATGAGTTCGAGGCCCGTGTACAGTGGAGGCGGAGATGCCAAGCTTTTGTCCTGCTTTCGGTTACTTTGTGGACTCGAGTAAGGAAGTGAGGTTCCTCAGCAAAGAGCAGTGTGTAAGAACTTCCTGCAGAATCATCCAGAGCTCTGGGCAAAGTCAAGACCCCAGACCATCTGTGGGTCTTTCGTGCCCAACATTTACCCTGTAGGGGTGCAGATGTTCAGCTGCTCTGGCCTCAGCATTCGGCACCATGAGCCACAAGGCCATGGCCTCCTGATGCTGATTGGTGAGACAGATGACTCCTATGAGCCCTTCTGAGTAGGCCTTGACCAAACTCAAAATGGTCTCAATTATGAGACCAGCAAAGATCTCCTGCATCCTGTCTGTACATTCCTCTTTCTGATGGAAGGATTCTGACTCGTGGTCACTTCCTATTTATTCACAGTCAAGACCTGAGTCACTTAAATTACCCAGGTAGGTTAAGAAGATGATGAGGAGAGGGGAGGAGGAGTTTGTCCACATCTCTGAATTCCTTGGCTATGTTCTATCCCCACTGTCCTGTGTAGATTTGGTCAGTCGACCTGCTGGGGGTCTCTGATATCCAGTAACATCCACATACTTCGAAATTCACTCTTGAAATCTGGTGTGTAACTGTTTTCCTCACGGCTAGGTGACTTTACAAGTGAACTGAGTTCTATCCTCTTATAAAAATGACAAATTCCAGGAATCCTACTGAGAAAACCACATGGCCACGGTGTGGTGTGCTGACCTCTTGATTTCCCCGTGGAACAAGACTTTTCCTGTCCCTTTGTTGTCATGTGCCGTGGTAGGGGTGATAGAGTCTTTCTAGACCTAATTGTTTCTAAACAAATATACCTAGCGATAACCCACTCTGGGCCCTTTTTGCTTGTTGGATAGTTTATTTTTGTCCATGTCAAGGCTTCGGAATTCAAAATGTGCTCAAAACAATTCAGAGAGCTCACGGTGAAGTCTTCTCCAGGGTGTTGAGATGACTCATTTCCTGGTGTAATGGAGGGAGAATCACATTCAGTTTTCTAAGAGAGAGAGAGAGAGAGCGCTCAGGCCTACCTGCTCTTAACAGCCTTTCAAAAAGAATGTTTTAGTCAGAGATTTTTATAGATTTTCGTGATAAAGTTTACAGGCAGGTTTTAAGATGTGGGAGGGGGGAGGGTAGAGAGGGCTTTGTTTTAATTAAAAAATCTTTTGAAATGATCATTCATCTTAACATTAAAAAAAAGGCTTCCATGGCTTAGGTCTCTGGCTCTTTATTGAAGACATAGTTTCCTCAAAGTAATTTATTAGCACTAGTTGGGAACATAATCATTTTACATTGCAAAAACATGTGCCGTATTATAGGAGCATAATAGTTTATCCACATAATGAAACACTACACAGCTGTCAAAACGATGAGGAGAAGCTGTGTGTACAGACTAGGAAAAATGGTCTATTTTATAAGTGACTTTCCTGCCCTATTTTATTCTAAATACTATGTGCATATATTCATATCTTTCTAGACGGATTGGTAAGTATGCATGCCCACTGTTATCAGTATTAATCTCTTAGGAACAGAATAGAGGGACGCAAGGGACAGAAGATTCATGTTTTACTTCGTATATTAAGTAGGGCACGGTCAGAAAGTTTTCCCCCTGGTGTAGGTTATTCTGTATTTTTCAAAATCGTTTTATTTTCCATCTCTGGAGGAGGAATGAAGATGGTGGAGTAATGGCGGGATTTAACCCGTGCGCCTCCTGTGCCTGGAGCACAGAGAGAACTCCACTTCAGAGACCACAGCAAACGCACTAGAAAGAACCAGAGTTTGACACCAACCAAGAAGCCCCCAACGTAGCATTTAGTAGAGACAAACACAGAGAATGGAAGCAGGTGCCCAGCGCGCTGCGCTGCAGTCCAGGCTGGGCTCTAGAGCCATTGCTGTGTTTTCTTCATTTTCTTTTCCGCTCCCCCCTCCTTTGCTCCCTTCACTCCCCACTCCCACCCCTGGACTCAACCTTCCCAGCGGACAGCAGTGACGTGCACAGGGTGCCGAAGCTGAATCTTGGAACTGTGAAGGCCACCACAGCAGCCCTGTTTTCAGGGACAACAGGACTCCATGAAGTAACTACAAAAGTCAGCAGGGCCCCTGGCCCTGGGATGGTCTCTGCAGAGCCTCTATGCCAGGGCCTCTAATGCCAGCGCCTCTGATGCCTGAAATGGTCTTGCCCAGCAAGCCCAAAAGCCACATGAGAACACCCCCCCATCAAAGGCTGTGCCCACACAGCCCCCAAACCAATAAACCAATCACAAAATGGACAACAGAATTTAAGAGAGACTTCTCAGAAGAAGAAGCAAGACACACGAGGAAATGCTCAACAGCCCTGGCCATAAAGAAAATGCAAAGCAAAACGATTCTGAGATTCCATCTCACCCCAGTCAGCCTGGCCACCATTAAGAATTCAGAAAAAGAAACACTGGTGGGGATGTAGGGAGAAAGGAACCCTGGTGCACTGGTGGTGGGAATGGAAACTCATACAGCCTCTCTGGACAGCAGTCTGGAGAGGTTCCTCACAAAACTAAACAAAGACCTTCCCCATGACCCAGCCATTCCACTCCTAGGCATCTACCCTGAGCATCACACGTCAGGATACAGTAAAGACACCTGCACATCCATGTTCATTGCTGTACTAGTCACAATAGCCAAGTTTTGGAAACAGCCCACGTTTAATAAAACATGAAACATACACACAATGGAATTTAACTCATCCATTAGAAAGAGTAAGATTATGTCATTAGTAGAGAAATGGATGGACCTAGAACAAATCATGTTAAGTGAGGTAGGCCAAACTCAGAGACAAACAGCACTTTTTTTTATTGTGAAAATACTGTACAGAGGGGTTACAATTACATGGGCAAGATAATGAGTACATTTCTTATCAAGCATTGTAGCCTCCTCCTTTGTTTCCCCTTCCCATCCTTTCCCATCCTCCCCTCGCCCCTCCACCCACTCCTCCCTGCCCCCCACACATACACCAAAGTTGTAAAGTTCATTTTTGACATAACGATTTGTACATCTCATTGTTGCAATGGGTTCACCTGTATACCTATTTAAACGATTTGTTTTTCCCCTTCCCCTCCATAAATTATAACAACACAAATGCAGTGAAAGCAGGGGTTATACTATGGGGGAGGGACATACAAAGCAACAAAGAAATAATCTTATAAATGTGTTAGAAATGATCGCATGAAAGAAAAAAACATTTGAATACATATCTTAGGGTTCATTTGCCTAACATCACCTTATCTGACCTTTTCTGCTTGACTCAGACATATACTAGATATTGCAAATAAGGGAAACCATGGGACCTATGTTTCTTTGGGCCTGGCTTACTTCACTTAATATAATTTTTTCCAAGTTTTTCCATTTCCTAACAAATGGGGCAATGTCATTCTTTCTGATGGAGGCATAGAATTCCATTGTGTATATATACCACATTTTCTTGATCCACTCATCTACTGAGGGGCATCTGGGTTGGTTCCATATCTTAGCTATGGTAAATAATACTGCAATAAACATAGTCGTGCTGGTAGCTTTAGTGTGGTCTTGCTTGTGATCATTTGGGTAAATGCCCAAAAGTGGGATTGCTGGGTCATAGGGGAGCTCTATGTGGAGTCTTTTGAGGAACCTCCATACTGCTTTCCAAAGTGGTTGAACAAGTTTACACTCCCACCAACAATGCAGTAAGGTTCCCTTCTGTCCACATCCCCTCCAGCATCTGTTGTTATTAGAATTCTTGATTTTAGCCATTCTAACTGGTGTGAGGTGGTATCTCAATGTTGTTTTGATTTGCATTTCTTTTATGGCTAGGGAGGTTGAGCATTTCTTCATGTGTCTATTGGCCATCCTTCTTTCCTCTTCAGATAAGTTTCTCTTTAAGTCTTTAGCCCACTTATTTATTGGGCAGTTGTTTCTTTGAAGATTTGTTGTTGGGGGATTTAATTTTTTGAGTTTCAGGTATATTTTAGATATGAGACCTTTGTCTGTTGTATGGATAGTGAAGATCTTCTCCCAATACATAGCTTTCTATTGATCTTGCTAGCTATGTCCTTTGCCATGCAGAAGCTCTGCAATTTCATGCAATCCCATTTGTCCAACCTTTCTTTGATTTGTTGTGTTTCTGGGTCTCTATTAAGAAAATTTCGACCTGTGCCAACAAGACCTAGGTTTCTCCTATTCCATACTGTAATCAAACAGCACTTATTTTATCTCATACACAGAAGCTCGATCTTAAATATAACCAGACATGATAACCCACACAGGACTCTCGGCATTCACACACAGTCAGGTTAAAGGAGGATACCCTTCAGGGAGGAACACAGAGGTGTACCTTCTCTGAACATTAAAATACTATTTATTGAAATAAACTCCAGGAAATGGAAACATGTTTATCTTTGTCATCGTTGTTGTTGCTACTGCTGCTGCTGCTGCTGGTATTTGTTTTTGCTTTTCTTTTCTTCTGAGGAGTAAAGAGAGGGCACGGAAAGGAAGGGAGGAAGGGTAAACAAATGTGATCATGCTATTCAGTATCCACTATGTAACTTGTAGGAAAGGACGGGAGGGGAAAACTGGGGGAAAGCAAAGGCTGGGAGGGGTGACATTGTCCA